GGAAAATCCTAGCTGAGTTTTGAACTCTTTTCTTTTCATAGGGAATGCAGTCGGATTTTTGGTGAAGATGGTCTGACGCTGAAACTCTTTCTTAAAAGGACTGCTCCCTTTTCTATTCTGTGGACTTTGACTAACTACCTGTATTTACTGGCTTTAAAGAAGCTGACAGCCACAGACGTCTCTGCCCTGTTCTGTTGTAACAAAGCTTTTGTCTTCTTGCTTTCTTGGATTGTGCTGAAAGACAGGTTCATGGGAGCAAGGGTAATGACATGCCTGATTTTCAACTCTCTTGTTTTCATAATTACTCTTTAAATCCATAAGCTATTGTATTGCTGTAGATTTGCTGCATTATGGTATATAACATGAATCTATTTCTCATTTAATTTTATGATGCAAACCTAAGCCTTAAGATCAGTTAGAGATCTCAGACTCCAGAGGTAATTTGGTGTGGGAGTTTCAAGAAGCTATTACAGCCATGTGTGATTTGATGAATTAGAGTAGGAGGACTTCCAGTTTCATATAAGCCTGTTCTGTTTTGGGTTACAGTGCTAAAGTACAGTCAATTAATTTGATTTTAAACTTAGTGATGAATGCTTAAGTTCTAACCGAAGCAATTTTATTCCTTGTTCGGGTAGACAGCTCTTTTCAATGTGTAACGTGTTTTTCTGACACTGCCCTAATACTTTTTACACACACATATACGTGTGCCTGTGCCAAATTTGGTTTAAAAAGAGCAGGAACTGTTTTGCATGAAGGTGTATTTTGCACTAAAGTGTTACAGGACTCCCTGGCAGTAATATGGACCCTTCAAAAAGAAAAAAAAAAAAAAACAACAAAAAACTTGAGCACAATGATGCGTGCCTGGATCTAGGGGAAAGCAAGTATGTTTCCTGTAATTTTACATACACAAATCTCCTAATAAGCAGCAATTTACATCTTGGCTAAGGAGTAGCTGGGCTTTCTGCCATTTCTGCTGATGCAGATTCCCCCATTGAAATGGCTCAAGGCCTAATGGTCCTGTTGGGTACAATCCTGATTGAACCATCAAGAGCTTTGAACTTCATTAGGGACTAGTTGGGGCAGGTGTGATGCCTGTGACTAGAAGGGGCCGCCAGCAATTGGATTTAAGTTCTGTGGAAGGTGTGATGGATCAGGACACTCATCTGAGTGAGTTTATTTTTTAAAAAATGAGCACAGCAGCTTTTTTTTTTCGATTAATAATGTGACAGAAGAGTTCAGAAATGAAAGGAAAAGGCATCCTGTTTCACAGGCATCTGATCTAGCTTGTGGAGCAGCCACCAGCACACTGAACAGAGCACCATGCTTGGGGTTTGGAAATGGAAGAGGTAATTGTTTAAAACAGTTCCCCTCATTTCCTGGAGGGACAGGGCTGGCTGGGTGGTTCGTAATGGCACGGGGCTTGAGCACAGGAGGGAGAGCGATTTTTTCCATGGGAAGGTAGTGATAGGACAAGGGGAAATGGTTTTAAACTAAGAGAGGGGAGATTTAGGTTAGATGTGAGGAGGAACTTTTTCACCCAGAGGGTGGTGAGGCACTGGAGGCACTGGCCCAGGTTGCCCAGAGAAGCTGTGGATGCCCCATCCCTGGAGGCATTCAGGGCCAAGTTGGATGGGGCCCTGGGCAGCCTGATCTGGTGGTTGGCAACTCTGTCCACACCAGGAAGGTTGAAACTGGATTATCTTTAAGGTCCTTTCCACCGCAAACCATTCTACAATTCTATGATTCTATTTCATATACAATTTAAAATACAGAAGCATCATGTGAATGTGACCTACCCTCAACCTGATGTTGACTAACTCAAAGAATAAGCAGGGTTTGAAATGCTCAGTTTTTCTCTACAGAAATTAACAGGAACTGTCCCTTCCCTCCTCTGCCCCTTGATCAATCTCAGGTTCCAGCTGAAAAAATCAGAAATTTTGTACTGTTTAAGCCAATTTTTGTCTCAAAGCAACCTCTTTCTAGAAGAGCAAGCGTAGCTCTTGTATTTTCCTCGCCTATTCTCTTAAAGAAACCTAGATGAAAAATACTAAAGCTATTTTCAGTTATTAGTTATTTTTTACTGACTAAAAAAAACCCCCATTGCTATAAATATGCATTGGTATTAATGCTGTAAACACTGTGAGGTTTGCACAAGAAAAAACCTGGCAGAAGAAGTGAACAGCAAATCCTGCACATAAAAGAAACTGTTTTGTGCTGCTAACTGGCAGATTCTGGATGCACGGTGCTGGAAAGGTAATTAGCAGCATTTTCCAGCAGCCCTCCTGCCAGAATAACACTTAATGATGTTAATAACCACACAGGAGCACGTTTGAGAACTAAAATATGACAAAGCAGCGTGGACCCAGCCTTTTATGCTTTGAATGCCTTGACTGCTTTCACCCTTCAGCCTCTCGGAGAGCGCGTGTAATTAGGTTATTTGGACAGTAAAGGGACGAAAAGAAATAAGAGCTTAATCATCTACTCTGAGCCAGTGTTTTTGCAGAAGCACTCAGCACCCAGGAGCACAGCCAGTTTTTCAAAGCTCAGCTCCTAGTAGCTCTTTCTGAACTTCAGAGACGTTGGGCACATCTGCGGCACATGGAAGGTGGGGATGGAGCCGGCACCTGTGTACCTGAGACAGCTTTAGAATCATAGAATGGTTTGGGTTGGAAGGGACCTTAAAGATCATCCAGTTCCAACCCCCCTGCCATCAGCAGGGACACCTTCCACTAGACCAGGTTGCTCAAAGCCTCATCCAACCTGGCCTTCAACACTTCCAGGGAGGGGCAGCCACAGCTTCTCTGGGCAACCTGGGCCACTGCCTGACCACTCACACAGTGAAGAATTTCTTCCTAATATCTAATCTAAACCTCCCCTCTTCCACTTTCAAGCCATCACCCCTTGTTCTGTCACTCCCTGCTTTTGTAAGAAGTTCCTCCCCAGCCTTCCTGTAGCCCCTTCAGGTACTGGGAGGCCGCTAAAAGGTCTCCCCGGAGCCTTCCAGGTTGAACAGCCCCAACTCTCTCAGCCTGTCCTCACAGCAGAGCTGCTCCAGCCCTTGCATCATCCTCGTGGCTTCCTCTGGACTCATTCTAACTGGTCCATGTCTTTATTGTGTTTGGGGCTCCAGAACTGGACAAAGTACTCCAGGTGGGGCCTTACGAGAGCAGAGTAGAGGGGAAGAATCACCTCCCTTGACCTTCTTGCCATCCTACTTTCATCTTCCTGGGCTTGAGAGTCAGCAGCCATCAAGGCTTAGCAGCTCTGCAGCAGATTTCCAGCATCACCAGTTCCCTGCCTGCCTGCTGTTGCTGTAGGCACTCTCCAAACTGCCTGCAGATGCCCATGGGTGTGTGGGAGCCACATAGCCAGCTGCCTGATGGCTCTCTGGTCCCTCAGCCGACACTCTGCTCCTGCACACCATGGAAAGCCACCACTGGCCAGGCTGGTGGGCTCAATTTTCAGATGGACTGTCTGAAGACAAACCTGTCTGGGTGGCCACCTTATGGTACAACATAATCTTGCCTATGGAAGTGTTGGCTGGCTGTAGAAGTGCTTCCAGGGGCTCCATGCAGAGGTCTGGCTACCCTGGCTGGGTTTGAGCTACCCTGAGTGTGTGTTCTGCAGTGAGAGCCACGTGCCCTCAGGATTGATGTTGTAGCATGGGAAGGAGCTTGCACCCAACCCCAGACAATAAAATACCAGCTGGAGAAAGAGTATTCATCTGAGAAGGACATATACAGCAATGGCTATATAGGTATTTACCTATAAAGGTAGTGCAGGTAGAACTTAGGTCCCTTGAGTTGACTGCCCTGCAGAAGGAAATAGCACAATCTGTGCCTGAACCATAATCTTCTTTGCTTGGACATTTCTGAACATCTCACAAATTAATAATGAATCCATATTACACTGGGACTTCGGGGAGTCCAGACAGCTTTGGCTCAGAGCAAGGACAAATATTTATAAGACTTCCAATATTTGTGTAGTTCTGTTGGTTTGTGTTGCTTAGATTTAGCCACGTGCTTAAATGTTTGCATATTTGAGCCCTTGGTTGTGTTTCATCTGTGAATTTGAATTAATGCTTGTTAGGTAGGAACATAGAGTGGTTTGGGGACATATTCCCCTCCAAAAAAAGAAAAGTTTGGCTGGAGTCTGAAGGCAGGTTTCTTTACTACAGCATCTCATTTATTGCTGTGCTCCACATGGGAAAAAATATTCCTGTGGTAAAATGTTGGTTGGCCTCGCTCTCTTCCAGGGGAAAAAAGAAAAAAAAAAAGAAGGGAAAAAAAAAAAGAGGTGGGTTAATTTCATTCCTTACCTAGCAGGCTCCAAACAAAAGTTACTACCCTCTTCTTATTAATTAGAAGCCTTGTTTAACGAGCTGTCAGCTACAACAACCAGTTTTGCTTCACTGTGACCTTGCTGCTTCTTGTGAGCTTACAGAAGGCTGCAGGATGTGCTCCCAGGTTTCTAAAGGAAACACATGATGATTGCTAGGCAGAGGTCCACAGTGCTGCTGCAGGGGTGTATAATTTGCAGGAAGAGCTTTGAACATGAAACTTAAATAATGTTTTCATTGTTCTCCAGTGTGAGGTCTTATTTATCTAATGTTTCATGAGATGATGCTCTATATGTGTCCATCATTTTGGTCATTTAAGGGAAAAAAAATGCTTGGCATTCTAAATATTTGATGAAATTAGGAAACTGACTATCTGAATTTTGTGTGGTCAGACTGGGAAGATGTTTTTCCCAATTGGAAGAATCTCTGGTTGGGGCTGGTGGATCTACTCATTCCCACTAATACAAGGAAAGGACTCACTTGCTGGGTCTGAGCGGTGAGTGCACTAGGAGTTAAATCTCGATCCGTTCCCTTTGAAGAAGGGGATAACTACATTGGACTTTTCTGGTTTGCCTTGTGGGAGGCATTGCTTGAAATATTACGGCTGAAATATTCCAGCTGACAGCTGAAACGCTACATCTGAATTTATGTGCAAAGCAAGATGTGTAGTGCAGCCTGAGATGAAACCAGCCAGGCAGCGTAGCAGGGCAAGGGTGGGCTTCTGGAAACTGGTAGGAGGGGCCGTGCTGACATCTGAGAGGTCCTGGGTGTAATTCTGCGTTGCTTCAAGGCTGGATTTTTGTGGTATTTGTGACCTAGGATAAGCTGTAATGAGAAGGCTCTGGGGAGATCTTCTAGTGGCCTTCCAGTACCTGTAGGGGCTCCAGGAAGGCTGGGGAGGGACTTTTTACAAGGTCAGGTAGCGATAGAACAAGGGACAATGGTTATAAACTGGAAGAAAGGAGATTTAGATGAGATATAAGGAAGAAATTCTTTGGTGTGAGGGTGGTGAGACAGTGTCCCAGGTTGGCCAGAGAAGCTGTGGCTGCTCCTCCCTGGAAGTGTTCAAGGCCAGGTTGGATGAGACTTTAAGCAGCCTGGTCTAGTGGAAGGTGTCCCTGCTGCTGGCAGGGGGGTTGGAACTGGATAAGCTTTAAGGTCCCTTCCAACCCGAACCGTTCTGTGATTCTGTGAGAACAGCAGTATTACCCAAGTCTATCATTAATGAACTACTCACTAAACCAAAGGTAGGAGAAGCTCTGTAGGGACCATTTCTACTGAATAGGCTGAAACTCATTCTTCTAAGAGAATGTAACTGTTTTGCTCACAGGTCCTTGGATAGATGTAAGCTCAGGGATCAAAATAAGCATTTCTGCATCTTTGGTGATGGTATGTGTATCCTGTGCCGGATGTCCCCTGACTTTTCAGCAGGGTGAACAGCAGAGGGTGATGTCTTCCAGCACCCCAGCTCACTTAGGAGTGAAGGCCAGATTCCCATTTAGGCACTGGAAAATGCAACATGCTCCTCTGCCCCCTCGTCAGCTCGCTGGTTAGAGCCCTAAGTCCATAGATGGCAGTCCTGGATCCATGTCCCTCCTTTGCATGAAGGGACTCAAGCCCTCCTCCTGGAATGTCCTAACTGCTGGGATGTGTTATTCTGGCAAAATGGGAGGGAAGTCAGCTGGTCCCCTCTTGCTAAAGCCCTTCTAGATCTCATTGAACCTTTGTATTACACCTGAGAGGCTGGGAGTATGTAAGTGACTCCAGCCCTTGCCTCTAAGTTGGGGCCCTTGGATTCCAAGTGCCATTTCATGGTGAATTTGGAGGTATCAGCAGTATCTTCTGGTTTAGGTGGCATCTTTGTTGAACTGGAGTTTGGAGCTGGAATGTTTTAAACAGAAGTAAAGTGGGATATAGACATGCACTGTGGTTTGTGACTCTGGCACTGTGACTGCAATGAGATGGAGGTACCTGTGTGCCTCAGTTACTGGTAAAATAGGGCTAATGGTGAGAGGGAAGCACTTACTTAAAGCTGCACTCAGATGACTCCTCCAGTGAAGATACTGGCCTAGATACCAATGGGATTTAGGAGCAATAACATTTCTACCTCTAGTCTCAGAGACTGGCTCCACTCTGGACATTGGTTCTTGGTTCACTGTTGTGTCCCATGTGTGGACACCTTGACCTGTGTCAGGCTTGTGTCCCTGTGTCTCCCCATGGTTTTTCTCTACAGACTAGCTCTTTTGAAATTGTTCTGTGGGATTTTTGTGTTTATTGTCTCTGTCTGGGTCACATCTGCTTGATACTGGTATCAGTGGGGTTTTTGGTATCCGTGGTAAAATTATATGAGATCTGAAAGTCAGGCTTCTCTGCAAAAGGGCATGTGGTTTGATCAAGATGCTTTTAAAGTCTGTGGTGTGAAGCTTAGGTTTGTCTGGCAGTAAGTATTTCTTAAGTTCAGTGAGGTTTTCCAGGAAGCAAGTGTCCATCTCACGTTGGTATGGGCTCAGGAGTTTTACCAGAGCTGCAGGAGTAAGAAAGTAAAAGCCCTGCCTGGCTCAGCAGTCGAGTTTGGGAGCCAGTTGGTGTGGCAATGTTTGTAGAGGTTAGTGCTGGTGAGGTGAACCACATCAGTTTCTTCTGTTGTATGAACGGGGAGAGCCTGCCTTGCCTGTCCACTGGTGAGTTGTGTGATTTAGTGGATATGTGTAAATAGAAAACAGGGTCTGAACCTTAAAAGTTGCTGCTGATTCCATAACAGCCAGCTTTGGGTATTGGCATTTGTGCATCTTCTACAGTACACCCACCTCTAAAACACAAACAATTTTTTTTTTAATAATTATGTGTTTAACATCACACTCATTTTTTTAAAAATCTCTGTTAATAACCTATCTTTGAGAAATAGGTCTCTGATTTTCCTCAGACCCGAGGAAACATATTTTCCTCTGCAGTCCATGGAAGCCAAGTATTCAGTGTCTTTGGAATTCAGACTCTGTATTTACCTACTGAGGGCAAATAGTTAGAAAGGGGGAGTTTTTCAAAGAATAAAACATGTTGGGATCCCTACCACTTCCTCAAGGTCCTTGGAGTCAAGCCCCAGGATTTCAGATATGATGTAGTTCTATTCTTTTTCTTTGAAGCTCCTTAGAAGCTCTGCCTGGGAATTTCAAATAAAGCCAAAAACCTGAGCACAAAGGTAAAGGCTTCATAAAGAAATTTGGTCATGTCTGTCCAAGAAAGCTGGCAAGGCTGTTAGGAAATAGCATGCACAGCTGGAGCAGCCTGGAAGAGCTCCCAGTGGAACACTGGTATTCCACAACACAGGGGTCATTCTCCCGGACTGATATCCAGGAAGGTCAGCCATGTAAATGTTTGCATTTCAAATCAAATTGGTAGCTTTGCTAAATATTTATCCTGTAATATAGTATAGAACATAATTTCTTAAGATTTCTTGGTCTCGGAGTCATATCTCCAAAGTGAATGTTTAGCTTATAAAATACTTAATGATGGATGTTCTGTCAGTAGGTCCCAGGAGAATTTGCAATGCTATAGGTCCATATCACTACCAGTGCCTACACTTTCATTATGCTTCACATCTCTCCCAACCGTACATAATTTTCCCTATTTAAGGGAAAGCAAAAAAGCTTCAAGTCAGAGAAAGTAGCTAGTGACACTCATTAAAGCCCCACACAGTGATAATCTCTTCCCGTGTAATGAAACTGTGCTGACCTTTACATTGCTTTGCTTTGTCTGTGCAGATAGTTGCGGCAATAATGGCAATCACAGGAATCGTAATGATGGCATATGCAGATGGTTTCCAGGGTGATTCAATTATTGGGGTAGCATATGCTGTTGGATCAGCCTCTACGTCTGCATTGTATAAGGTAGGTCCTAACTGTTTATTAGTATTCTTATATTCTTTAACATAGGCTGTTAAAGATGCATCAGTACAAAGCGAATAAATGTTTTATTTTAGTCAGCCCTCTTGTATCATTCATATTGGGACCAGGAATGATGTCAGGAAATCTACTATCAGGGTAAATAGTTGTTAGCTGCCAAATATTCAGAATAACTTTGCTTTATAAGCCTTTAATTAAATCTCCATGCTGTAAGGAGTTTAGGATCATGTTTGAAGCATTTCCTGCCACCTCAGTTTATTGACATGGTTTCGAAGGGGTTTGCCATGTGCAGCAGGGAGGAAAACCTGACTGCGGATAGTGCCGCTTTCCCTGCATGGGGACGAACGGCTCATCCCTGGTCTGCACTGCAGCTTGCTTGTGTATTCTGTACTCTTGGTGAGCTTGAAGCCTCTGCATGTGCCTGGTCCCTCTGCTCAAAGTAGTGGCTGCTCTTGAAGGTTGGAGGATGAAGAGGGCAGGGATGTGGCCAAGTTAGTAACAGGTTGGGCTAAAGGTGGCTGCATTTATTGTCAGCTCAGGGAGGGTGAAGTGTGTGTGAAGAGGAGCAGAAGTTTGGACTTAGTTGTATTGGGATAAGAAGTTGCCTTTCAGCTTTAGACTTTGCTTGTCTCGCCGATGAATTTGTTGTGATTGTTCACAAGTCACTCAAAGTGCCTGAATTTAGACTCATGTAGGACAAATCCTGCATGAAGCTTGTGCTGCCTGTGAATCTGAAGCGAGTCCCTCCAGGCGAGGCTTTTCTCTCACAGCAGGTTCATGCTGTGGAAGTCACCGAAGTCCCCTCACAAATCCTAACAGTGCCAAAGCCTGTAACTACATTGCATGGATGGTGTTCCCCTTGAGTTCTCAGTTACACTTGCTCCTCATGGCATTTTTTTATTAATCTTTGTTGTACAGACTCAACCATCCCCATGGTCATAACACAGTATCTCTCCCTCTGCTAAAATGCAGGGAAGGGCTGATATCAGACCAGAGTTCCTCTTGCAAAAGTTCTGTGGAAAAGGGCTGGGTTGTGGCACGCTGTCCTGGTCAGGGCTGGCCCCATGCCCCACTCTCCCCAAAGGAGTGGAGGACCTAGTGCTGGAGGACTTTGCTTCCCACAACAGGCATAAACCTGAAACACTCCTCTCTCCTTTCCTTTGCAGGTTTTGTTCAAAATGTTTCTTGGAAGTGCAAACTTTGGGGAAGCAGCTCATTTTGTTTCTACCCTGGGCTTCTTCAATTTAATTTTCATCTCTGTTACCCCAATCATACTGTATTTTACAAAAGTGGAGTACTGGTCCCCGTTCTCTGCCGTGCCATGGGGTTACCTGTGCGGAGTAGCTGGCCTCTGGTTAGGTATGTGATAAAAAAATTTACTCATTTTTCTAGTCCTCCTTCCCCAACCCGATGCAAAATTGGCCTCAGGCACAAACATTTCCCACCCCTTCCTTAAGCTGCAGAGCTCTCTCAGGGAAGACATCTCATCCCAGTGCAAACTGGTGTGCCTTCAGAAATGGCAGATAGTCTCCACTTTACATCACAGCATTCCTACCTTAGTTTCACTGGTATTTCCCTGTCTGTGGCACAGCTGGATTGCTACACATCCAGTTTCAAAGGGCTTTGCATACTCAAAAGTTCCTGGAGTGCTCTGTGGGGTGTACGTGTATGGTCACAGAGACCCAGAGGGCTGTGGGTGCTGCAGGGCTCTGGGCAGAGCTCACACAGCTTGACATTAGCCTGCAAAGGCTGGTGCTGTTTCTTCTCCTGTGGTCTTTCCCTCCCCTCTGCTCTTCCACAATGCTCTCTTTTCAGAGCCGTGGTTGCTATCCTCTAGCCAGGCAGAATAGCTGTTGGATTCAGCCCAGGGGCATTTTATTTTCCAGATATAACAACATCCTTTCCTTTACTAAAGGCTCTATTATTTCATAATTAAAGAGGGTTTTATCTCCACTACAAATATATTAAATGGAAGCAAAGAGGATGTCTTGCCTGGTACATAGCCCATCCACACAGCTGTCCTGAGACATCATCAAATCATTTAGATTGCAAAAGACCTTTTAAGATCATCGAGTCCAACCGGAAACCTACACTGCCAAATCCACCACTAAACCACTTCTCTAAGCACCACATCTACACATCTTTTAAATCCCTCCAGGGATGGTGACTCCACCACTGCCCTGGGCAGCCTGTTCCAGTACTTGACATTCCTTTTGGTGAAGACCAAAAGACCTTTTTTCCTCATATCCAGTCTCTACCTCCCCTGGTGCAACTTGAGGCCATTTCCTCTTCTCCTGTCACTTGTTACTTGGAAGAAGAGATTGAGATCCACCTTGGTACAACCTCCTTTCAGGTAGCTGTAGAGAGCCAGAA